TAGAAAAAAGAAATTTGGCCAAATCACTGTAAAAAATGCAAACAAGCACTAGAGAACTGTTCCCATAGCGATGTAAACATGTGTACGATGTTTTGGCATCAGTTGTGCCATCTAGCAGCAGCATTCTGACTTACTATTATGTACATATTATGTATTACAGTGGACCCTCAACTAATGGCAGCATCACCTAACACCAAAATCAGCTAATGGCTCTCTTTGGCGTCAAAATACTGGCTCAACCAACACCGAAAAACTCGTCTAAAGGCTTTCGTCCCGAACGTGTCCATGCAGCCTGAGCAGGCCCAGCCACTCCAAGACTCTATGTATAGCCAGTGTGCTATTGTTTACAAGCTGTTGCGGTCGATTCCACTCGTACCTGCAATATATTTTGCATTATTCCATTGTTTTTAGTGCTTGTAACTGCTAAATCAGTCACCATGGGCCCAAAGAAAGCTTCTAGTGCCAACCCTGTGGTAAAAAGGGTGAGAATTACTATGCAACTGAAGAAAGAGATAATAGAAAAGTACAAAAGTGGAGTGCGTATCTCCGAGTTGGAAAGGCTACATAACAAACCCCATTCAACCATCACTACTATCTTGGCCAACAGAAAGGCAATCAAGGAAGCTGTTGTTGTGAAAGGTGCAAGCATGTTTTCAAAACAGAGATCGCAAATAATTGATGATGTGGAAAGACTGTTGTTGGTGTAGATAAACGAAAAACAAGTGTTTCTCAGTCAATAATATATGAAAAAGCAAGGCAGTTGCATGATGATCTCATTAAGAAAATGCCTCCAAATAGTGATGATATTGATGAATTTAAGGCCAGCAAAGGCTGGTTTGAGATATTTAACCCTTTCAGGGTCCGTCCCGTAGATCTACAGCTTTACGGTGAGTGTCCAAACCGTAGATCTATGCCATGAGCTCAGCTCACTCTGATAAACTGTGAGTGGTACATTTGGGCCTAGATATGAGAGAATACATCTATGTGGTATGTGTGCACTACATAAAACAGATCCTGCAGCACACTGTGTATAATGAGAGAAAAAAACTGAAATGATTTTTCGATTAAAACAGCAACTTTGCAGTGTTTTTTCGTATGTTTTTTATAGTTGTATTTGCGATTTCTTGGTCTCATTTGATAGAATGGAAGACATATTACAGAAATAGAGATGATTTTGATTGGTTTTAGCACTGGAAATGGCTTGAAACTGAGCTCAAAGTAGCGGAAATGTTAAATTTTTGCCGATATTCAAGAGTAAACAAACGACCTCACACGTCTAATACACATCAGCTGGTGGGTCTAATATACATTCACAAATATGGTGATGATATTTATACAATTATTACAGTATTGCATAACAGTAAACCTTCTATTTTTTGGTGTGAATAAAAATTCATTATGTGAATAAAAAATCAAAATGGAATTTATTTGTAAAGCCTCAAAACATAACTAATGAACAGAGGAAATGTTAGTTTAGTGCCAGGAATGCCTACATTGTTTATTCTGGACCCTATTTTGAAATTGGAATATTTTGAACTTTGTGTTAAATTGGCCAAATTAACAATTTCCGATCACTTTATTTTGTAGTTGAAACAGTTGACTTGGCGATTTCTTGTGCTCAATCGATAGAATAGAAGTAATACTAGTGAAATAGCTAAGAATTTGGTTGATTGGAATAATGTAATTGGCCTAAAATGGGAGTCAAAGTCAGCAAAATCGCCGATTCGTAAATATCGCTGACATCAAAATTCGCGAGCATAATTTCGTCAATTTTCCACCAAATTTCGTACTTTTTGTTTTATTACCTTCACAAAAAGATTCTCTACGATTTCATAAGAAAAAATAACAAATTTTTTTTTTGAAAATTCTTGGGACACTGGTGCGCGACTCCAGATTTGGGCCTTGGACCCTGAAAGGGTTAAGAATCGCAGTGGCATACACAGTATGATAAGGCATGCCATATTTTTCAGCTGCGTTTTGCAGCTGAAAAATATGTGCAGGACTTTAACCCTTAAACTGTCCAAACGTAGATCTATGTTTTTTCAACATTTGAGGGTATGTAAAAAAAGTAAATCTTTTCTTTTTTTTACATTTGAAAACGTGTAAAAAAACTGATCTACTTTCCATATTTCTATGGAAAAAAAGCTTCTTTTGTTTAGGCAAAGCAGCACAATAAAAAGTTGCAGGAGTCTGAGAGTTCTATGACTAGTAAGGATCCATAAAATGAAGGAATTTCAACCATGCTTTATTTCTTAAAACAAAGATTTTAGCTTGAGTCAGTGGTGAATTCATTTTCATTGAGGTGTGATCATCATTTCAAAAGTTGACTAACTAAGAGAAATTGCCCATTCTATATTTTAAATTGAGAAAAGTATATTAACATGACTGTACTGTAATTGCACTACGAACATAAAATCTGTGGGGAATTTTTTATACACTTCTCCCGCAGAGGCGGACCTTGGTATATATGTATATGTATATATGTGCGTGCTGTGTGTGTGTGTGTGTGTGTGTGTGTGTGTGTGTGTGTGTGTGTGTGTGTGTGTGTGTGTGTGTGTGTGTGTGTGTGTGTGTGTGTGTGTGTGTGTGTGTGTGTGTGTGTGTGTGTGTGTGTGTGTGTGTGTGTGTGTGTGTGTGTGTGTGTGTGTGTGTATATATATATATATATATATATATATATATATATATATATATTATTTTTTTTTTTTTTTTTTTTTTCAACAAGTTGGTCGTCTCCCACCGAGGCAGGGTGACCCAAAAAGAAAGAAAATCCCCAAAAAGAAAATACTTTCATCATCATTCAACACTTTCACCTCACTCACACATAATCACTGTTTTTGCAGAGGTGCTCAGAACACAACAGTTTAGAAGCATATACATATAAAGATACACAACATATCCCTCCAAACTGCTAATATCCTGAACACCTCCTTTAGAGTGCAGGCATTGTACTTCCCATTTCCAGGACTCAAGTCCCTTCACTAAATATTACCCTGCTCACACTCCAACATATCGTCAGGTCCCAAATACTATTCGTCTCCATTCACTCCTATCGAACACGCTCACGCACGCCTGCTGGAAGTCCAAGCCCCTCAACCACAAAACCTCCCTTACCCCTTCCTTCCAACCTTTTCGAGGACGACCCCTACCCTGCCTTCTTTCCCTTACAGATTTAAACGCTCTCCATGTCATTCTACTTTGATCCATTCTCTCTAAATGACCAAACCACCTCAACATCCCCTCTTCAGCCCTCTGACTAATACTTTTATTAACTCCACACCTTCTCCTAATTTCCACACTCCAAATTTTCTGTATAATATTTACACCACACACTGCCCTTAGACAGGACATCTCCACTGCCTCCAACTGCCACCTCGCTGCTGCATTCACAACTCAAGCTTCACACCCATATAAGAGTGTTGGCACTACTATACTTTCATACATTCCCTTCTTTGCCTCCATAGATAACATTTTTTGTCTCCACATATACCTCAACGCACCACTCACCTTTTTTCCCTTATTAATTCTATGATTAACTTCATCCTTCATAAATCCATCCGCCGACACGTCAACTCCCAAGTATCTGAAAACATTCACTTATTCCATACTCCTCCTCCCCAATTTGATATCCAATTTTTCTTTATCTAAATCATTTGATACCCTCATCACCTTACTCTTTTCTATGTTCACTTTCAACTTTCTACCTTTATGCACTCCCAAACTCGTCCACTAACCTTTGCAATTTTTCTTTAGAATCTCCCATAAGCACAGTATCATCAGCAAAAAGCAACTGTATCAATTCCCATTTTGTATTTGATTCCCCATAATTTAATCCCACCCCTCTCCCGGACACCCTAGCATTTACTTCTTTTACAACCGCATCTATAAATATATTAAACAACCATGGTGACATTACACATCCCTGTCTAAGACCTACTTTTACCAGGAAGTAGTTTCCCTCTCTTCTACACACCCTAACCTGAGCCTCACTAACCTCATAAAAACTCTTTACAGCATTTAGTAACTTACCACTTATTCCATATACTTGCAACATCTGCCACATTGCTCCCCTATCCACTCTATCATATGCCTTTTCTAAATCCATAAATGCAATAAATACTTCCCTACCTTTATCTAAATACTGTTCACATATATGCTTCAATGTAAGCACTTGATCTACACATCCCCTACCCACTCCAAAACCCCCTTGCTCATCCGCAATCCTACATTCTGTCTTACCTCTAATTCTTTCAATTATAACCCTACAGTACACTTTTCCTGGTATACTCAGTAAACTTATTCCTCCATAATTTTTACAATCTCTTTTGTCCCCCTTCCCTTTATATAAATGGATTATACATGCTCTCTGCCAATCCCTAGGTACTTTCCCCTCTTTCATACATTTATTAAACAAAACTACCATCTACTCCAACACTATATCCCCCCCCCTACTTTTAACATTTCTGTCATTATATAAATAATGCAGGCCAAGAAAATAAGTTAAACTGTGGAATACAAAATTTGTAGCAGTCTAATTATGTCAAAAAATAAATAATTCATACATCTACGCTTAACCCGTAAATGGTCCAAACGTATATATACGTTTTTTCAACATTTGAAAGTATGTAAAAAAAGTAGATCTTCTTTTTGTTTTTTTACATTTGAAAATGTGTAAAAAAACTCTGATCTACTTTTTTTTTTGTTATACGTATTTGAAAATATGTAAAAAAAAAACGTAGATCTACTTTTGTAGCACTACACATGTGAACGTAGATCTGCTTGGACCGTTTACAGGTTAAAGTTAAAACTTTCACTAAATTTATAATAAAAAGTCATAATTTATATTTTATTTTTTTAACAAACTAGCCGTATCCCAACTAGCCGTATTGCCATTTTCGCGTAAATTTGATGTAGCATTAAATGAAATAAGCTATTTGACATAATCAGTATAATGCAGAGTTTGTTAGAGGAAAATAATCATTTTTTCCACTGAAACTCACCTCTCGATTGAGAGCACGTGCAATAGAGCGAGCAATGCTGGTCTTTCCTACACCAGGTGGACCGTGAAAACAAAGAATTTTTCCTTGGGTTGTGCCTCGCAGTTGTGCCACAGCTATGAACTCTGTAGTAAGAAAATAAAAAAGAGAATAATCAATGCATACTATACCGCAGTAACAATGAACTCATGGTGAAATCCATCCTAAACTTTTTTTTTTTTAAACACACTGGCCATCTATCAAGGGTGGGTGACCCAAAAAAGAAACACTTTCACCATCATTCACACACTCACTGTTTTGTCAGCAGCACACAAATACAACAGTTTAGATGTCCCTCTAAATGGTAAATATCCCAAACCCCTCCTTTAGAGTGCAGGCACTGTACTTTCCACCTCCAGGACAATTCTCTTGTATTCAATGTAACTTCTAAATTTATATTTCAATCACCTAAGAGACTTTTTTTTTTTTTTTTAACAAGTCGGCCATCTCCCAAAATGCTTTGCATATTAAGGAGGCATTATGCTGAAATAAATTATCTTATCTTGACTAATTGCAGCTAACCTGTTTCTCTGAATCCTTTCACAAAATATTATACTTACTCATTTTCATCTTTCACTAGTTTCATTTATATATTATAACATCTATGAGTTTATGAAGCACTAGGTAAACCATAGAAATGATGAAGGATAAAGGGTGGGTGGTGCACTGAGGAGTCTGTGGAGACAAAGAATGTTATCTATGGAGGCAAAGAATGGAATGTATGAGAGTGTAGTGGTACCAACACTCTCATATAGGTGTGAAGGATGGGTTGTAAGTGCTGCAGGGAGAAGGAGGTTGGAGGCAGTGGAGATGTTGCATCTAAGGGCAATGTGTGGTGTAAATATTATGAAGTTGAAGTGTGGAAATTAGGAGGAGGTGTGGAGTTACTATAAGTATTTTTCAGAGAAGGGGTTGTTGAGGTTCCTTGGTCATTTTAATGAGTATAGAGCAAAATATGATGACCTGGAGGGAGTATAAATCTGTAGTGAAGGGGAAGAGGGTAGGGGTCATCCTAGGAAAGGATGGAGAGGATACAAGAGGTTTTGTGTGGAAGAGGCTTGAACATGCAGCAGGCATGTGTGAGCAGATTAGATAGGAGTGAATGGAGACAAATGGTTTTTGGGACATGACAAGCTGTTGGAGTGCAAACAGGGTAATATTTTGTGAAGGGATTCTGGGAAACTGGTTAGCCGGACTTTAGTCCTGGAGGTGGGAAGTACAATGCCTGCACTTTAACTCATTGACTGTTTCAGCCGTATATATATATACGTCTTATGAGCCAATGTCTCTGACATATTAATATGCGTAAATTCTAGCAGCTTCAAATCAGGTGGCAGAAAGCTGGAAGGCCTACATGTGAGAGAATGGGTCTGCATGGTGGGTGTTCACCCCTGTGAAAAAAATCAGGGACTCAGTGGTGCATTGTGGGAATGCCATCTTGGTAGTCTCTGTTCACCATGCCTCAAGGTAAAAAGTACCTCACTCCTCGCCGAATTGGAGGTCTTCTGTTCCCAAATGATAGTTCTAACAGTGATGAAAGTGCCAGTTAAAGTGAATTCCATGGCTTTCAAGAGGGTGTGACCAAAAGCAATGCCCACGCTAACGTAATTAGTGTTGAAAACCCAGATGGAAAACCCAGATGACCCTCAATCTTCCACCTCTGGTGCTGGGCCGTCTCATTCACGTTCACCTGTACGAGGATGAAAAAGGAAACTATTTCCCCATGTACAGGACTCGGATGTGAGCAGTGAAAGTGATAGTGATAGTGATTTCCAAGTTACTGAAAGCAGCTCTAGTTGTGACAGTGAAGGGGAATATTTGCCAGTGAAGTGGCAGTATGTACGACGCAGCGTGTGTTCTGGTAATGTGCCATATGCCATTCCAAGGCAAAAGAGTAAATCTCGAGGTACATCCCATGGCCCTACACCACGACCTGAGTGTGAAGATGATGATATTGTTACAATGGGGATGAATAATGTGTGTGGGGCAGCAGGTGGTGGTGGTGTTGGTGGTAGCATGAGTCATGTGGCACCATTAGCAGGCCATGCTCTTACCCACGCTGCTAACTCAGCACAGCCACAACCAGCCTCAACCACCCCCCCCACTCCCACAACCTGCACAACCACAACTTCCACAACCACAACCACCTTTTAATATCCAGAACCCACCAGCAGACTGCATCTGGGATTGGCAGCAAGTTGCCAATTTTGTTCCCAATCCCCATGACTTTGATGAAACACAAAGTGGAATTTGGCCATTGTGTACACTTGGGAACAATGCCACTGAACTGGAACGCTTTCAGTTATTCTTCGATGAAGCCCTGATGGAAATTATTTTCAGGGAAAGCAACACATACTATGAGTACACAATGGCGAATACAATTCTTTCACCAAGGTCATGGCTACACCAGTGGAAGGACACAACTGTGGCAGAGATGTACCTGTTCTTTGCCACAATAATGCTTATGCCACATGTGTATAAGCACACTGTCACCACACATTGGTCAACGGAACGCCTGATTTCAACCCCAGGTTTTAGTGATTTTATACCAGTGAATCGATTTTTGATACTGTTACGTATGCTACACTTCTCAGACAAAACAAGACCTGACAGAAACAACAGGTTATATAAGATTAGGAATGTGTTCATGTACCTGAAGCAAAAGTGCTGTATGTATTTTTATCCCTTCAGGAAGCTTGTTATTCATGAGTCTTTGGTTTTGTTCAAAGGCAGACTGTCGTTTAAGCAAGAGGAAACGCTTTGGTACAAAGTTATTTGTACTGTGTGATTGCAAAAGTGGTCTGGTTTTGGATATAACTGCGTACACTAGCAGTAATACATTGAGAGATACCAGAAAGTTATTGGGTATTTCTGTTGATGTGGTTAGAACAATGATGGAACCATATCTTGGTAAGGGGCATATATTATTTACCAATAACTGGTACACAAGCCGCTTACTCAGTGATTTCTTGCGAGTGAACATGACAGACATGTGTGGCACAGTGTGTGGTAATCGTAAGCATATACAGTGGACCCCCAGTTTACGATCAGCCTCCAATGCAACCAATTATGTAAGTGTATTTATGTAAGTGCATTTGTATGTGTATGTTTGGGGGTCTGAAATGGACTAATCTAATTCACAATATTCCTTATGGGAACAAATTCGGTCAGTACTGGCACCTGAACGTACTTCTGGAATGAAATAATATCGTAAACCGGGGGTCCACTGTACCTAGGTTCAACGCAGGTACTCACAGAGGTGGCATTTAGATGTTTGCTGCCAATGATATCATGATATTTCAGTGGCATGACAAACATGATGTCACATTGTTGACATCAGTCACCGAAATGAAATGGCAGACAGTGGCAGGCAGAACAGAGACCAATGATCCCATTCTAAAACCTGCAGCTGTGATGGACTACAATCTCAACATGCGCTTAGTGGACAAATGTGACATGCAGATTGGGTTTTCTGATTGTGTTTTGCAAGAGTTATAAGTGGTATATAAAACTTTCTTTCCATGTACTTGATATTTCCATGCAGAATGCTTATAACAAATACAAGATGAAGACCAACAACAAACCAAAATATGGTTAATTTTGTTTGTCAGTCATCAGACAAATAATATTCAAGTACACCAAGGAGAAACACCTGCAATAGACCAGCACCCACAAAATTACCAACACATACCATCTCGTCTGAGGCCTGGTGATCACTACCCCATACAACTGCCTTCTACTGCTTTCAAGAAAAGTGCTCAGAAGAGGTGCTTTGTCTGTGCACATACCACAAAATGCCCACAAAAGTGCAGACACTCGTTTTATGTGTGAGGAGTGTAAAACTTCACTGTGCATAACACCATGTTTCAAAGACTTTCACAAGCTGCAGCAGTTCTAAGAAAGTGTTCAGTGACTGAACATTTGTATATATATTATAGATCAATAGTAATAAAAAATTTTTTGTCTTGTTGGTTTGTGTAAACAAGTTTTGTAAACAATATAATAATGTTTGTGCAGTAATTGTGTTGTATACAATGAGTGTATATTTGTACACTGCACCTTACTTTGGTCTCACAGGCCACATAAGTTACTTAGAAAAATTATTGGAAAATACAAGAAAACTTCAAATTGGAGTAAATAAAAGAATACTGGGTGAGCGGCATTTGCCACTGTTGCCATATGTGGCTCATTTTCTGCCAACTTTATGCCTCTATATCTCAGTAAGTACTGATGGCAAAAAAAATTTTTTGGCTTAAAACACTCAGTAAAATAATCCTAACATTTTGGTAAGAAAAAATAATTTATTTTTTTTTTAATATTTTTCAACACAGAATGACAGTTTCAGAAATGGGCTTGTGACAGTCAAAGGGTTAAAGGAGGGGTTTAGAATATATGCTGTTTGGAGTGACATCTGAACCGTCATATCTGAGTGCCTCTGCAAAGACAGTGATTATGTGTGAATGATGGTGAAAGTGTTGAATGATGGCAAAATGTTTCTTCTGTTGGGTCACTCTGCCTTGGTAGGAAACAGTTGACATGTTAAAAAAAAAAAAAAGCAATGATTCATGAACTAAACTTTTTAACAACTACTCGCCTTTCTTTTTTAACCTGTAAATGGTCCAAACGTATATACATGTATACGTTTTTACCACTAGTGCCCCAAATGTATATATACGTTCTATTTGTCATACATTCAACATTGCCACGATAAGCCTGAGTCGCCAAGACATGAGAGAATGGGTGTGCACACTCACTGTGCGCCATATTAAAATAATTGGGGATTCCTGAGTACCATATGCTCTTTTCTTCATATTAAAAAAAAAGATTTTTTTTCTCAAAAAATTTGGGGCACTACGCAAGAGAACGTATATATACGTTTGGACCGTTTACGGGTTAAGATAGGTAGGGTAATTAAAAAAAAACACACTTTCACAATCATTAACCCTTTCAGGGTCCAAGGCCAAAATCTGAAGTCACGCACCAGTGTCCAAGAAATTTTGAAAAAAAAAAAAAAATTATTTTTTCTTACAGAATTAAAGAGCATATTTTTGTGAAGGTAATAAAACAAAAAAAATTAGAATCTGAT